TATATTCTTCCTACAGCGTTAATATTTATCTAGTATTTTATCTCGCGAATTTATCTGCTCTCTAACGTATGGAACAATTTTATATTATACACTATAACTAAGATTTTCTATAATAATTTATTTCGATTATAAACTTTTTCGCGTGCGTGCGTAAGTGCGTGCGAGCGTGCACGCGTGGGCGTTGTAAATTATAAATATCTATAACAATGTAATTAGAGATTTATTGGAATAACGAATGGCCAAAATTTTCTTAAGCCTTTTTCATCGAATAAAATTGTAGTTAATTGGAAAGTACGATGACCTCGCATTTCGCAAGTCCAACGCACGAACATGAGTTTCAGTTCACGATCAATACGTAATTTCTCTCTCTCTCTCTCTCTCTCTCTGACGAAGTTTTAGCCTTGCTTTCGAGCAACAACCCACCACCATCCATGCTACTTCCGGCACGAACGTTCAAGTCGCCAGGTAGTAGACTTATCCGGTCTCTAATCGCAAACTACTCTCCCTCTGCACCCTCTCTTTCTCCCTCTCCCTCTCCCTCTCTCTCTCCTTCTGTCTACCTTCCTAATCACCAATGGTTATATAAAAAAATCAACAAGCATTCTCTTGCATGTTCAATTGATCGGATGATCGAGACTCGAACGAGGAATAAGATAATTGGTCTTTTGGGATTCGTACTTTAATATCCGGCTTTGCGATAAAGGTCTAATCCTTTTTGTTTAACAACTGGTACACGTTTAAAGGATTAATCACTTCCTCTTTGTATTTATGTTATCTTTGCATATACCTAAACTCTCTCCCAATAAACCTTCCTATATGGGTATGTACATACAACATGTGTGCATGCGTGCATGCATTAAGGAAAAACTTTCGATTTATTCTATAGACAAAATGCCTCATTTGGAATCAACGTAACTTAATATGTTCGATCTTAAAAATAATTAATATTACAGCTATTTCCCAACTTTTTGTTTCATGCACACAAATCGATACTTATTTTTGAATAAAAGTTATATGGAAAATCCATCGAGCGAGTGCACACTTTAACGAATGTATTTGTAACATCACTTAAGGAACTTGTACCGCCTATCTATGAACTTTCGGTCTATATTCTGTATTATAAAGAACATAGAGAAGAAAGATGAAGGAAAATAAACACGAGAGAGAGAAGAATAATTGAAGAAGGGTTACCGTTTTAGAAGAAGAACGCGGTAATGATCAGAGTAAATTCTGAATAGGGAGAAGAGAGTAGGATATAGCAAAACTCGCATTATCCAATCGTCGGTAGTGCTCCGCGGACTGCGTTTATGGCGACCCTAAGTCGTGACCGATCCTTTGGTGGGAATCCGCCCTGAGATCGACTCTCATACGCCTCGAGGAATACTTTCCACCTCTTCTCTCTCTTTCTCAATGATTCCGTTAAGAGTCCATCTTTCTCTCTCTCTCTCTCTCTCTCTCTCTCTCTCTTTTTCTTTTTCTTTTTCTATCCTTTTCCTATACATATATCCCTTTCTCCTTTTCCCACCTTCTTCTTGCAATCTTTACAGTCTACTAATGGACCACAGCAATGATCTTTTTGAATCCTGGATTGCTGTAACTGAATCTCCAGCGAAACTATGTCAGATTGTACATTTTCTTTCCTCCTTTTAGTTTGTTCCTGTTATCAACTAGGATATAGTAACAGAGAGACGTATTTGGGTTAGTCTAATCTTTTATAATCATAAATTATCATTTATTACAAATTTATAATAAAACAGAGATAAGGTACACGATTTCTAATGTAGTATCATGTTAAATAATTGCATTTTTCTATTTGTTATGCTTAACTTTGTTACTCTGGCCTTGTTGGTTGTTTGATTTAAAATAAATGAAAATAATCATCTAAAACAAACACAATTAAACGAGAATGATCCAGACAAGATATACTGTCTCTCTTTCTCTCTTTCCTTTGAGAATCAAGTACTCCCGAAATAGCTTGCTACTCGCGTTGTTGGTGAAGCTGATGGAAGAAAGAAGAGGAGGAGGAGGAGGAAGAGGTGGTTGGGGAGGAACCACGAGACTTGAATCTCGGACGATGTCCTCTACTCCTTCTTCGCTGCGAGACACAACTTAAATATTTGAAGGCTACAGTGCCCCTTTAAAAGAGACGAGTCTTCTTCTCAAATCTCATGTTTTCAAAGATGGGTACACTATGAATGTACGCGATGAAAGGGAATATCATTCTCCTCTTTTATTTCGAAAAATTTGCACTAAATTTTACTTAAGAGTAATTTTCATGAACAATTTTTTCACGACTTTTTAATTAATACTATTATTATAAAATGATAAACGTATATTTCTAAAAGAAGATGCGAGAATTTTCCTAACATATTCCTAATATATCTGTCCTAACATATTCAGATGCTTAAAAACTTGTTATGTGTGTATGTTAGTGAACAGGTGTGACGATGATGGGTCGTTCAAGAGAGTTACTACTGGACTGCGCTTGACCAGAAGGCAATTAATATGCCAATTAGTATTGCAGAGTAGTGGTACCAGGAGAGAAAGAGAGAGAGAGAGAGAGAGAGAGCCGTTTACGGCAATTAATGACAAAATTGAACGCATCGAATTGACCGGAAGTAACGTCGAATTTAGTTAGTCGACGGGGACAAATCGCGTTATCTCTCTCGACCATTTCCTAACTTCGTATAATTTGAAATGAAATGTGTTGTCTTTTACAAACGTAGAAAATTATTAAAGATTTTTCTCGTCTAAGAAATTTGGAACCACCCTTGCAGGTAGATATGCGTGTTATTCGTTCGTTTGCCAGAAGCCTCGCCTTTTGCAAACGAACGACTTAAATCAAAATGAAAAACAAAAATAATACAAATAAAAAAAAAAGAAAGAGAGAAGGAGTAGCTTTGGTATTGGTCTCCCTCTTCCTTTCTCTCCCTCTCTTTTTCTCTCTCTTTTTCTCAGTTCTTTTTGATTATGTCTTACCGGTTTTCTGGACGGTCATAGCCACGCGTAACGGTTTGAGACGATCGACGTATCTTCCAACCGAGCAAGGTTCGTGCTCGTCAGACCGGTTCGCCATTTCTAAAGTAATTCTCCTTGTGTGTTCTGTGTTACGATTTTATAGAGTAGGACATACACGCATACACGCGCGAGCGCATATATGCCGGAATAGCAGCAGGTGTAACATCAACAGTTTGATTTTAATCCGTGTTTTATATACTTCATTGATAAACCGACCTCGTTAGATTCGTTTTTATGTAGACATATTTATTCATTTGAAATTAAAATTAATTTATGTCGATACGATAGTTATGATCAATTTTGATGAACATAAAAGTAGGAAGAGAGTGAGATAAAACTCTAGTTGTGAACGAGATTATGGAAGATTCTGGTGTTAATTGTGACGCGTGTGTGTGCGTGTACGTATATATATCTATAAACTAATCTTAAGAATAATATAAAGTACATTTGTTTTAAAATGATTGTTAATTAATCGAAGAAAATGTGTATTATTAATTAAAAGCACCGAGTATAAGTCTCTGCGTTAGACTGGATTTTTGTCATATATTATAGTTTTTTTATCGATTTGTTGTTTAAATTACTTTCCGTATGTGGTACATATGAAAAAGAAAAATAATATTCGTAAGAAATAAAATTTCCTTCTTAGGAAAGTCATATAAACAACATTKAATAAAAGTAATTTGATAGAGGACAATGTCTCATTTCATCGGTGGATTTCGAAGGGGACGGTGCTCCGAACATATACTATGTGTTTTTAAACTACAATACACATTTCCTTCAATTAATTAACAATTTTTTTAATACTCTAACACATTTTACTTACATTTCAGATAAAATACATTTGTTTTAACGTTTTACAGTTACGACTTCGAGTTGACATCAAAATTATTTAATATATTCCAAGTATTAATATATTAATAATAAGTATTAATAGATATGTACTTCGTATTATTATTACTTGTAAATACGTTGAATTAATTCGATGAATTTTTCCAAGCGTAATCGTGTACGAATTAACATAGAACAAACAAAAAAATGTAGATTAAAAAATACGAAACGTTTATATTTCCTGTTTGAAAAGCAAACGAGAAACGTGAACGCGTGCACATATAGGTGGTTAGGCAAAAAATAAAATTCTAATTTTCTCGACATTCTACTTCGTACTCTGAATCATATTTATCACGCCTCCTTGAATTCTACGGCTAATACAGTGGCGTGAAATTTGAAAGAATTGTTCCTAGCAGAAAGTCCCGGCAGAAATTAATTAACGCGCGTACCAGGGTTATTATTATAATTATTATTACGATTATAATTATTCGTGTCAAAGTCCATGTGGTAAGATTCGCGAGGTAATTAATCAAACCGGAGGTCAGGAAGATCGAGCGAGTTATCTCCAGACAATAAGTTCATTTTTCTTTCTTATTTTCTCTCTCTCTTTCTCTCTCTCTTCCTTTCTTTTTTTTTTTAGAGAAGTAATGAGACACTTGACAGAACGACGACATCTTACGCCAACGCTTTTAACAGTCTCCGTACACTTGAACTTGCAATTATATCGTTATTACGGAATAATCGTCTATCTTTTTCTCTTTTTCATTTCCTATCTTTTCTATACCCGTGTACGTAAAATTACTATCCCATTGAAATAATTTACGCGTGCATAAATTGCCAAAGAAATTTTTACAAAATATTTATAAACAAATCTAATAATAATATAACGCATAAAAAATATATTCGTGTGTAATAATTAATATTAGAAATAAAACAATATGCAGAGTCCAGTAATATCACGACGATGGTTCATTTATTAACACGCGTTTTATTTAATCATCAAAGAGTCAAGCAGCTTTAACAGCGATTAATATACTCGGATGGGTTACCCGATTAGATACAGAGAAAAGAACTATTTTATTATTTTATATATATAAAGTATATAAGAGTTTATATATAAAGGTATTTTTTTAATTCTGTTGAATGTGTTGAAGTCTTTGTAGGAGTTTCCGAGTGGGATGAAACTGGTGGAGGATGTCATTGACCCGATGAAAAGGTCAGAAAGTACTAGATGCACACCAGTTTTTAATGCAACACGTAAGGAAAGAAAAACGTGCGACTGGAGAGACACCGGGTAGGTATCTCTCTCTCTCTCTCTCTCTCTCTTTTTCTTTTTCTCTCTCGAACCTTCTCGTTTATTTTTCGCAACGCGTGACTTATCGAGCCCAAGTATCGGCGCGAACGTGTCTTTCTAACCCCCCTTTTATATTATTTTTTTCTTTTTAACAAAGCTCCCCTATAAGCTCGTACTGTATCCTAGACATTTCGATCAAGTTACACAGAAGAGAGACAAGAAAAAAATGAAAGAAAATTGTTAACGGACCTTTTGTATCTAACATTTCGTTAAATAAAACAAATTGATCTACCGATCACAGCACGAAAGGATAATTCGAGATACGAATTAGTCACATGTATTTGTATGGAGGTTTCATATCAATGAGTCATCCCAACCAGAGAGTCGAGGTTGAGTCGTCAGAAAATTTTCTGGATGCACCGCGCATCGCAAGTTCGTTTCTCTTATCATTCTTTCTTTCTTTCTCTCTCTCTTTCGCATCAGAATTCACGCAGCTGTTCTTCTTGTTGCGTCGATGATGAAATGCAGAATACGATTGGTGAGTTGCTAATTTGGTCAACGAAAAGAAAGAAAAAAAAAAAAAGAAAAGGCAAAGAAGGGAGCCAGAAAAAAAGGTACAAACCGAAAAATTGAAATAAAAATAAATGGTGTGGCGGGGAAAATAAAGAAGAATTAAATTAGAACAAAAATTGTGTATGTGTGTGTGTGCGTGTGGAGAAATATTTCGTAAGCTTTTTAAAACGACGAACAATAACAATGACTCACATAAGTTTCTCATTTCATTTCATTAGCTGAGTTTATCTTTCGTTCGTGAGGAGAAGGAAGGGTAGATAGTAAATTAAACGAAGTAGGGAGAGAGACAGAAAGAGAGATAGAGAAGTGCCGTAATTGATACCGTTCGTCTGATTAGAAAATAAGAGAACGCATTGGTCAATTTGCCATGCTCAAAGAAAGAAAGAAAGAGAGGGAGCATTGTTTCTTCAAGTCCTTCGGAAATTAACGAGTTCCTTATTGAGCAGAACGACGTTAGTTTATACTCGCTTACATGTCAGAGATTATTGGGATTACGTTTATCGTATTATGCTATTTGTTTTAATTGTTTGAAATTTAATAAATCATGTTACGAATTTCTATTCGTAAAATTACGAAAGACTTTAAAAAATGAACATTATTTATTAAATACTGTTTGTGTTAGATCGAAATATGAAAGTAATTGAATAATAATAGTTATTATATAAAATAATAAAGATCATCCTTATAGATAATAGTTGCTTAGGGAGACATACACGCTTTCCCTTTCATTTATATTTTCTTTTTTCGGGGATCCAATTAGTGTGTTCCAGGATTAATTAAGTGGTGTAATTGTAACCGAAGTTTCGTCGAAGCGTGAGTAAGGCGTGAACGAGAAGAATGAGTCATTCGAGAGTGCAGTACTCTGCTCAAAGAAAGAGAAAGAGAAAGAGAAAGAGAGAGAGAGAGTTTAGCCCTCGAAAAATCGTATTTAGGAAGATCGAAGGAGACCATTTTGGATATGACTCTCGTGCCTCGACGAGCCCTCGAGAGTTGACGAAGGTCTAAGGGTAAAGGGCGAAACACTAAAGTTAGATAAGAGAAAATTCAGTACGTATCGTCCGAGTAAGAACGTTTCTCGTCCAATTAAAAACCCGATAAAATATTATGTCCAGTTATAAAAAGAAGAAATCAACACCCACCTCGAGGGTGTGTTACAATTTATTTATTTCTTATATATATATTATTGTTATTCTTTTATAATATTATATAAAATTATGTAATAATTCTTTCACTCTCTCTCTCTCACACACACACACTTTTGTGTTCTTAGTATCTTTTTCTATCTTTCTCTCGATAAAATCACGAAGAAACGGATCTGACAAAAGGAATCTTTGGACAATAGCGTCCTCGTTAAACGTACACTTAGTAAATACCTGCAGCAAGTGTGAGAGAGAAAGAGAGAGAGAGATACGCCTACACAGTAATCTGGACTTTTAACTTTTTCCATTTCTTTGCCACTAGAAAATGCCAGCCGGCGTCGCGTTGAAAGACTCGGGGAAAAAGAAAATGGAATGAGTATAGTCTAGGGAGAGAAACAGAAAGAGACTATGGTTGATAGTGACAGTAACAAAAAAAAAAAAAAGAAAAAGAAGAAAAAAAAATGTAGTATGGGAGAGGAAAAGGAAGCGGAAAGAGAGTGGTGGTGGTGGAACACACTAGTCTTACTGTATTGCTTTTCCTTTTGTCTCTTTTCCCAGCGAATAATCACGAATGCCACGGAAAAGCTTCAGCAATTGCTTCCCCCCCCCTCACACACACCCCCATTCTCACCCCACACTCTCGTACAACCCCTATTCCAATCCCCGTTTCCAACTTCATACTCCTATCCTTATCTCATTCTCTTTCACTCACTATTACTGACTTCTTCGTGACAAAAAAAGAAAAGAAAAAAGAAAAAAAGAAAAGGTATAACAAAAAGGAATTCATACCTTTTAAGCGTTTCCTTCGGCTCAGTTTTATTTTAACCTTTCGTCTAATTAAGATCTTCCCTCTCTCTCTCTCTCTCCCTCTTGTAATTGAGTGTATTTCCTCTTATAACGCGGAAAATGTACATATAATGGTAGAGACACAAGGCATTTACAATAATACGATTCATTCAGACTCGTGCTATGCGGAACTACGAAGTACACGGTCAAAAGTTCTTCGCTTGATTTTCTAAATCAATTATTTTATTTCTCGCTATGACAATTTAGTTTACAATTCGTGTTTATTTCGTCATTTTATTATCTCTTTGTCTTATACGCGCTAAAAAGAATTAATGTAATTAATTTGTAAAATCGCGTTTATACAAACTTTTGACTTTCGTTTTGTTTCTGGTGAAACGATTTTTCTTTTCTTTTCTTTTCTTTTCTTTTCTTTTCTTTTAGGATAAAAATTGAAAATGAAATTTGCATGAGAGAAGGAAAAGAAAATGTCTTTGTAAAATGGCGAAAGAGAGTAAAATATTTGATTATCTCTTACTCTTTCTCGCTATTTCGTTGCGTCTTTGACACTGATCAAAGACTCTTTTACTTTTGAACGATATGCAAGCCAGCCAAAAACTATTTTCCACCACTACCACCACCTCCCTTTTATCACCGTCGTGTATAAATATATCCAGGGTGGCGCTCGTTCCAGCTCAGACATTTCTTAAATAAACCCGAGCTCAAGACGAATAGGAATAAAGTCTTCCCTTTTTCTATTTTTTTTTCTTTCATTCTTTCTTCTACTTCGTGAAACTTAAAGGGAGAAAAGATTCGCTTCCGGAATTTTTCAGGATTTTCTTCAGTTCTTTATTTCTTTTTTTTTTTCTTTTTTTTTCCTCTTTTTTTCTGGGACAGATTTTTCTCTTTTTTTTTTTTCGAAAGAAAATCGTTCCCAGTCGTCGAACATTTTCAATTTCGAGAAACGAAACTAGAAATGAAAGTATTTTCCTTTTTTTCGTCTTGTTTTATTATCATTTTTGGAAATGAGATCTTCGAGAACTGGTTTTCGAAGAGAGTCGAAAGACGATGGTTGCTGCCATCGCGTTCGTTCACTCTTTATAAATAGAAACTTAAAATTGTCAGTCGTGTCAGGGCTCATTCTTGATCTGTGTGAATAGATCTTTTAAACTCGCGATCCTTTCGTTCTTTCGTATTTCCTGTTTTACTAAATATAAACTCCCTGTTTGTTACCTTGTAATAACTATTAAATAAATAGAAGTATTATATAAATAGGTATTAAAAAACAAAAAAATTACAAGTTAACCCTTTACACTGTAGATTATATAACAGTTGATCTACCTTCGAATTAATTCTAATTACTTTTTTGTTTCAGATCAAAGAACATATCGATCATGCACCACTACTAAAATTCTTTGATGTATCTTTAAGGTAAACTTATTGTATATCGGTTTATTCGAATCGTTCCATCTTTTCTATCCATCCAATTATTTGAAAACAAAATACTATATAAAAAGCGAGGAACATAAATGTAATCGAATTTGTAATCAAAGAAATTGCCATTTCCTTCGGAGTGCTGCATCTGAGATGAAGTAAATTAGTCGAATAATTTCTTGTTAAGTCTGGTAATAGTTTAACGACAGGATTTTTGCGTTAACGATTCTGGAATTTGTTTTTAACGATGCTAATCGTGGTATTTGCGTTTACTCTATCTAACCTCATCAGCAGAGAACATTAAAAGCTAAGAGGAATAGATGGATAGGACGTTACGTTTTAATCGAAAGACCCTAGGCATTAATTCCGGGTGGGCAAGTCATCGTGAAAGCCACGACAAGGTCATCGCGTTTTATCGACTCGATGCAATGAGATCCAATCGATGTAGTAGTCAGCCTCGATCAAAACTAGTCGATCTACTTTACTTCCTTTTTTTTTCTCTTTTTTTTTTCTTTCTCATTTCCTTTGGCCTATTTCTGCCTGATATATATTCTTTATAATTTATGCAGAAAGTTTAGATTAATTAAATAAATTCTTTTTACAATTATATTATTTTCTTTTTTGTGTAACATGTGCATACAAATTATAAATCAGTTTAAAATTGAAAAATTCAATTGTATTATAATATATTATTGATCTTCAAAGGAAGATGGAAAGAGATAATGTAAAGGGGAATGTCTTGTGAGACATTTAAACAACGTATATTGCATTGTTAGACCAGTGTCATCTTGCGAACGAAGACAGTCGCATTTCAAGGTCGCATATAATTCCGCCCGTTCTGGAAAGGAATGCAATAACGGGTTCCTGACTCATCCCAGAATTCTCTCCTACACTGTTAAACCTTTCCAACACTTGTTGTGTTAATTCAATCTAACGTGTAAATACTTACTTACGGAATTTATCGGTGTTAATTAAATTGTGCACTCCCGTATTACGACACTTTTCTTCTATGCGCATTTGCAGTTGCAATTGCAGTTGCATTTGGAGGAAAACGGCAGAGGTGTTTTCTGTTATTCGTGATACGTGTATATTTGAATAAAAAATAATCAATTTGCAAAGATTATATTTCCCATATGATATTTGAATAAAATGTCTATGGTCATATACGATAGATCTCATGTGATATTAGATATTTATTCGTAAACGAATGAAGCTGTAAAGAAAATTGCAAGTAGCAAATACAATGGCATTATGTTAGACAATCTGTTAGATGATTCTCTTCGGCGTCGTATATATGCGAGAGTATATAATCCCCCTTCTACGATCCGAGGAGAGTAACCACATATATATATATAGTAGCGTAGTCAGCTGAGCGAAGGTCAGGGTCGCTTCCAAGCAATACTATCCGAGGGGTTGCAATCGATGCACGATGCTGCTGCTGTTCTGCACCCTTCTCAACTACAGTTACCATGGTAACCACATCTCTCCTGACCTATTGCTAAAGCCAGAATACGAAAGGGAGGGGGAATAGGACCAACCCGTTGGGCATACTCTCTCTCTCTCTCTCTCTTTCCTTCTTCCAATATATACACATATACATTTATTTTTTATCGAGTCAATTTTTGTATTAAAAATTTCAAACATAATAGTGTTTGAACATTTTTAGACAAAAATATTATAGACTTTACTTGAATATAAATTAATTACAAATTGTAATATCAATTATTGACCAATAGATAGTCGATTTATTTACTTGTATAATATATAGGTAATAATCCTATGTATCTCTCGCACATACATTCCTTCCCCTCTTTTTCTCTCTCTCTCTTTCTCTCTCACTTATTCCCCATTTCTTTCTCACCCATTGATACCTCCTCTATCTTTCTCCTACTCTCCCTCATATTCCGTTTCTCTCTTGCTCTTGCATTCAGTATTTCTCTCTTTCTCTCTCATCTCTCATAGTGTCTGTATATACATATATATACATATACATCTACATTGGAGATAGTAAGAGAGAGGGAATACATTCAGCTGCTTCCGCAACGATCAGCACGTTCCTGTCTTCTCATCGTCGACGAGTCTTTCTCTCTTATCTCGAGTTCATCGTGCATCTTTACATGAAAAAAGAAAAAAGGAAATAGAAAAAAGAGAGAGACAGAGTGAGACAGAGAGAGAGAGAGAGAGAAAGTTGTTAGCATCTTAGAAAGATTATGTGACGTTTTGTGTTTCGTGCGTGTTTTGTGCTTGTGCATACTTACGAGTGTCTTCTATAAAATTTTGTATAATTATCCGATGCAATTCTCTTGTACACCTTTCATATTGCTCTTCCGTAACCAATGAATTACTTCCTCCAATTAAACGAGCGACCTTGAATCTTGACACTAGCGCATCAACGAGGAAAGTTTATTGAATAAACTCGAACACACGGGGTCTATAACTTCATTCAATTTTTATTAATTGCAACTTACGCGCGAAAAATGTTCTCTATATATATATAGAGATATATTTTCGGTGAATAAAAATTAATTGAAAAATTTGCAACTGCATCGGAAAGGAGTTTGCGGGCGGAGGGCGGCGGGGGGGGCAGGCAGGCGTCTAAGGGTCAAGGTCGAGTGGTCCAGATCGATAACACCGGAAGTAACTCTTTTTTTTCCGCGAAATGTTTTACGCAGTTTGAATTCGGAATCGAGTACGCTCTATTTATTTTTTTTACAGACTAAAATAAAAATAAATATAAACGAGATCGTTGAGAGAAACAAATTGGATTATTATTACAAATCAATCTCAAAGATGGATGGATGGAAGAATTGGAAAGCACGGGACAATTCGTTCATAACGAATTGGTATCAACGTGTACGAGAATCTTACGTAGCAGTTTGGTTCTTCGGAATGTTTCAGAGTAGCAGAATGTCAACTGCAAGTAATAGTGGGGCTGGGGGAGGTGGAAGTAGTGGAGGAGGAGGAGGAGGAGGAAGCAGTGGTGGTGGTAGTGGTGGTGGAAGTGTTAGTGGCGCTTTAAGTTTAATGGGTTGCGTCAGAGAGGCTTCTCCTCCTCCTCAAAATCATCATCATTATCATCATTATCATCATCATCAGCACCAGCAACAGCAACAGCAACAACAGCAACAGCAACAAGGCCGTGGACTTGGCATTGGGGATTTTTCTTCGAACAGTAGCGTCGACCCTTTACCCAAAGGTTCGTTCTCGTCATTATTTCCCTTTAGAAATTATTTTATTTTTTAAATATTAAATAAATGTGATGAACGCAAAATAGATATTCGACAAATTTATATATTTACGGTTAACGATATATTACGTAATAAATGTGCATGTTTTGAGTTGATTTTGATCATCAAGTCGATTGTTCGAGTTACATTCGACTATTAATTCGACTATTCTCGCCCACGATTGGCCATGACCCACTTTCACGATTTCTCTATCCTTCTCTATTTCTCTTTTTCTCATTCTCCTTTGGTTCAAAGAGAATTTCAATCCGAGTATAACGCCATAGGATATAATTTTCTGCTAAAACGCGTCCACGCGTACGTTTAATTTCTCTCAGCACTGATAGTACATAAACACACATGCACACACATTTAAATGTAAGATATAGGACAGAAGCTTTGAGGCTTGTAGTTTTATAATTTGAAATAAAAAAAAAAAGTAAAGAAATTATCCTAAAAGTAGCGAAAGAGAAATCAAACGCGAACGAAAAAAAAAGGATTCCAAGAAGACGCGCGAGGAGAAATAAGTTTTAGTTTCTACTATTATTCGCAAAAGCCTCTGCCATTAATGCAATGCTCGAGTGATTTTGTCATTGGTCAACCGTGAAAAACAATGTCATGCCTGAATCGTTCCAGATATATACCCGAGTTTCTTCCCATTTTATCATTTTTATTGTACAATTATATTATACCCAAGTCCATTGAACCTTTCCTTTGAAAAGAACAATTTTGTAGAAAAAAAAAATAGGAATACAAAAAGTGTAGGATTTATGGTAAAATCATGAGAAGGTTCCATTAATTGAATAAATGAATACACGTGCACGATACGACACGCATACGGATACATAAAGGATATTAAAACATTTTTCACGTAAGCAAGAGATAAATATCGAACCGATAGGGTTATCAAACGTTTTCTAATCTTATCGATGCCGTTCCCAATGTTATGAGACCAGCGAAGGTAAAGTCAGTCAGGTGCAAGTAGTATATACTTTACTTTTATCCTTATATACAGTTTTACAGTTAACACAAACTATGGAAAATAAAATGCACAGTTTCATTGAATTTAACGATATTATCGGTAAGATTTCTTTTCTCTTTCCATTATTTCCAATAATTCTTTTTTATTTTCTATTGTGTGTGTGCATCCTCGTTCGTGTATAATTGTACAATATCTTTTTTAAAATGAAATATTTTGATGCTTCTACTGATAAAAATGTTAAATAATATTCTATTCTTGTCCTTTGTGCATTTACTGATCCACTAGAAAATAAATAATTTCCTTAATTTAAGACAAACAATATTAGGAAAAATAATATTTATTAATAGTGTTAACACAGAAAAGAGTCATCGATAGGAGAAGATTTTTTACAAAGATTAGAAATCGTAAGATAAAGAAAACGTCAGAATAGATTAGTAGTTTTGTTCTAAGAGATAAAGGAGGAAAATATGAAAAGGATCATCGTCACGTTTTCAATTTGCAGAACCAAAAAAACGTCGTTTTCATCCATTGAGAGGATTAAGAAAAATATTCCGAAGAAAAAGTCGCGGTGCCGCGGACGTGCGATTAGTTTCCTCACCTGGAACCGGTGGAAATGGTGAACGAGATGGTTCGGAATTGGTGCGAATTCCACGAGAAGAGGTTACTCTGAGACATCCTGCTGGGAGAGCTGAAGAAGCACGAAGCAGGAGTGCCAGCGAATTACTTACAGATTCTTGCGATCGTGAAAGGTAAACGACCAAACGTAACAACAAAAACAAACCAATTAACAATTCTCTCTCTTGTCAACGATTACATTTTTTTCTACGCGAATTCTGACAATTATCTAATTATAATAAATAACGATAGGAGTGTGGGAGGAATAATAAAAAAAAACGGTTCGTAGGAGCTAACAAAAGAGAGAATAATCTCTCTTGCATTTCTAGTAAACGAAGTTCGATCACTTCCATCGCTTCAATTACTTCGATTGGACTATCATCTCGAAGCTATAAATTGGTAACGCCAGCGAAGCCTCGAAGGTCCTTCAAGCAGTAAATATCTCGATCAATGGGCTCCTTTTATTATTTCTTTTTTTTTTATTTTTTATATTGCTGTCCAGTGTGTAAACTTTGTCCACGTCTTACTCAAACGAAGTATCTTTGCATTATGATACTCTTTCGATCTTTCATTTTTTCATCAGGTGTTTACGTCCTTGATACTGACAATGAACGCATCCATTCAATTGGAAGACTTCAAATATGATCGAAGTTCCTGTATTTGTGCAGTCGTGTATTTGAATTTAGTCGGATCTTGCAGTACGCAGTATCCATGTGTAAACGAGTTGGAGTCTTTAGAACGGTATCGATTGATTATGGTATTCGATTTCTGGGGTCTAATGTTACACTGGAGACCCTTGACCTCGATTGTAATAGTTACATTCTCTTTTCCAACTGGATTACTATAACTGGTTTATAGGATATTGATGACTTGTGTCGTTGGGTTGGCGCTATAAATGTTCTAACTTCATCGCTTTTTTTTTCTTCATTAAAAAAAACACATACACATTTTTTCTAATACATACTTGTTAGATTAAATCTCCTAATGTTTTTCTAATATCTACGATAGTATTAAACAATACACACACACATATACACACAACAAAATCATTATATTCGTTTTATAAAATAACGTATCGATAATATTTGTCATTATGCGATAATATTCGAATAAATCGTTATTTCAGCGTATTCCTGAGGAGAAATGGAACGGAGGATTTGTTTGTAAAGCTACGAGGTGGTACAGGAAAATTGTCAGTCTCTCACGACAGTGTATTCCCTGGGGAAGTACCTCATACTCGGCCTCTATCTTCATTGGACAGTCTGCCAGCTCTCGAGGTCAGTTCTTTTCCTATTTTTCTTCATTCCCTTGCATTTAAAATCAAAATTCGACTCTCCAGAGATTTCCTTGAGAATAAAAGAATACTGTATATCTATGCCTGTCTCTCTCTCTCTCTCTTTCTCTCTCTCTCTCTCCTTTCTTTTCTTTCTAATATTAAATATTTAATATTACTACGGGTGTGTGTGTAAAAGTGAGATTTCTAAATCCAATGCATGCTCGATTGCATATCGATATTTTAAACAGTCTCTACAAGCATCTAAAATAACTTTACAATATAAATGTATAAAATTTCTAACGAATTGAATTGAATTGTACGAAAACTTTTCGAGATATGTTTAGAATAAATTTAGAAAGTTTAGATGAAATTGGTTCGATTGTATAATCAATCGTGAACTTTTGAGAGACACGTTTTTAGAATAAATTTAGAAAGTTTAGATGAAATTGGTTCGATTGTATAATCAATCGTGAACTTTTGAGAGACACGTTTTTAGAATAAATTTAGAAAGTCTTTAAACGAGATTTGAATACAATGTTAAAGATTGTTTTCAAAAAAACTAACCCCATAGGAATATACGTAGAATTACGTGAAGAAGATAATATGAAGTGAACGATCATTATTATTATTATTATTATTATTATTATTATTGTATAACTCGATTTAAAGACAGAGAAGTTATTCTAAGCACGTGTGAATCGGATTAAGACGGTTACACATGTCTTAGGATCGACTCGTGACTCGTCTTCTAATGTTCCATTCGCACGATTACACGCGATGACGAGAGATGCTGTTTTACGTTCTAATCATTCCTACTTGCCTTTTTTTTTCTCTAACAGCTATCGCAGTGAATTTAATTATGAACGATCGGTTCCCTTCGTTTCTTTTTTTTTTTGACTTTCTTCCAATTAAATCGTTCCTCGCAATGATTTTGATTTATATTACGTTACGATGATTAATAATAGATTTGTCGAATATTGTTATAGAGTTTATCGAAAAAGTTTTGGTCAAACCTATATTTACTAATAACCATGAGTAGTCGACAGTTCCGTTCTGATAGTCGAGGAAAGTCACGAAACGAAGAGAGTGTTTCAATCTTCCCCTCTTTATATATATTTATTCCATTCACTCGTCATTCTCTTTGTTTCTCTCTATCACTATATCTTTCTCTCTTTTTCTCTTTTCATATTCAACAACAACAACATAACACAACGCACAGAGACGACAAGAGAGGAAAAGCAACGAGATCGAACACAAAGACTATGCTCCCTACGTAGTCCAAAGGCACAGGATATCCTTGCGAGTGAGTTTTTTTTTATTCACATGTTTGACCACAATTCTTTCTTTCTTTCTTCCTATTGCAATATATCTTAATTACTTATATTTCATTTATTTATTTATTTATTTATTTATTTATTTATATAAATAAGAGAGTTCGTTTGATTGTTTATATATAATTGATCATTATATTATATCGGATTTTGTAATTAATTCGACGAACTTATTAACGAAGAATAATAAATAAGAAGGATGATATTTCGACAGGTGCTCGAGCAAATAAAAACGGTCATAGAGAACAGGAACCAGCAACAAGCGTCAACGATTTCCTCTGACAATTCAAACAACACGTTACAACAGGTGGAGTAATATAATTATTATTAACTTTTCACGTGTGTGTATGCGTTGAATGTTCATTTATTTTATTCTTTTTAATATCTTTTTTTTTCTAAATTCTTATTTTTATACGCAGAGAAAACTTTCGCTTGGTAAAACCGCTTATGTGTTGTTCCGCGTGGACGTCGTGTCATAACTCATCCATAGAGTTGTGTTCGTTTGGGATCTAATGATAGGCAGTATTATTATCATAGATATACATATATATATATATATATATATATATACACACATGTACTAGGTAGATATATAAGAGAACGTTAAAAGCGAAATGTAGAACTTTCACCAACGAAACGAGGAGTTTAATGGTCGAGTATTAATCTTTATAATTTCTCCCTTGGGCTACTCTTCACGTATTTTTTTTTCATACTTATTATTTATTGTAATACCGTTTCTATTTTTTTCTTCTTCTTTTTCTTCTTTTTCATTTCCTTTAGTATGCATATACGCATGTACACGTTTATACGCAGTGCATATTTTAATTGAATTGATTGATTTTTTGATACTCATGATATTTATTATCGTATTCGGGCGTGTATTAAAAAATCGTATAACATAATTATTTAGCTTGTCCGTTAATCTCTCTGTGACATCAGAATCCGTTTTTACGTTTCAGATTGCGGGAGAACGTTATCAGCAGGAAACCGCCGAGGTGAGATAGTGCGAATGTAACACACATTTTCACACTCTCTGTCTATTTATTTGTCTTTTATAATAAATGTCAGTCAGTAATAAGTTAATTCTTCGTGAAGTAAGATCGCGTCGTGTTGGTATTACGAATTTTTCGTTATTTTCCTTCGAGTATTTTTCATTCGTATGATTGTTGTTGTTGCTATCCAATTAAATTGGACATTGCTTTTTATTATCATCATATATTGGAATGCGAAAGAAGGTTAATAGATATGAATAATAGACAAGTCATTATCAATTGTTGGAGGAGAATTGTTAAACGAGTTTTACATTTGTCTCACTTAGCAACTAATCATTCGTGGAAATTAAAAGTGAGTTTAGTGACATTTTTTTTTTTAATTTCGTCTATCTTATAATTGAAGAGACGTCATAATACATTTTGTATATGTATTCATTTTATTTTTATTTTTATTTTGTTTTCTTTTCAGAATCGTTTTGGAAATTATGACAGTCCGGACAAAAGTAACGTCGATGAGAGCCACGTCAAAGTGAGTTAATCAAAATAAAATATATAATTAAGGAAATCACCGATAATATTTTGTCATCATAGAGACAACTCGAAAGAAACGCAGAGTATCATCATCGTCGAAAAAATTCCATAAGATAATTCTAATGGATAGGATCGAGTAGGAAAGTTTAATAAAAAATTACAACATATTTATCAGCAAGAAAGAAAAGAAAAGAAAAAAAAAACGGTGATTCGACTGCTGTTGTACGAAACGTTTTGCGTCCCTTTCAAGTAGGTGGTACGTTCATTGTTCTGCTTCTCTCACGTTGGCGCAAGCAACTTTGCGTGGCTTGGCCATTATTGTTTCCGGCTCTTTTCGCAGCAAATATTATTTCTTTTCTTTCTCTCGTTATCCTGATTTTTTTTTAGCAAAATTTTTTACCGTGAAAAATAATATAAATAATTTAAATTAATTTTTTAGAAATATATTTTCAATACATACGCACGTGCGCGTAACCGTGTATGTGGGTCATCTTTGAGCCATATACCAGTTTGTTTTTTCTTTTTCTTTTTTATCTGTGTTTTGCAACGCCAGCGAGAACGTTCATAGCGTTCGCTCGAAAAATCTGACTGATTGTGAGTCACATATATGTGGAATTGAAAAGCGTCACGGTTCGTTGATTTTTCAAATTTAAGCTCATTAACGAGAGTCAGAATGAGAACAGAGCAAAAGGCAAGTCAGTCTTTTGAGAGTGAACGCGGAAACGAATAGGTAGTATAGTGTGTTCGTGATATTTATTTTACCGTTACTTGGCCCCCGTTTAGTCGTTAACAGAGTTGATCCAACATCATTTTCCTCAAATTTCGCAGTAATTCGTTTTTTAAAAAAATCACTTTTTTCATTTACGTTCGGTTATTATACATTTATATTTATTTATTTTAAATTATATACGATGTTTGCTAAATTATATGCGTCACAATTTATTTTACGAAATAAGTAAAAGTCAATTTTTATATAGGATTTACAACAATAATGTATATTTATAATTATGCACAATATGTATTTATAATATACATTCATCATTGATTGTATTCTTTTGTAAAAAATAATTAGTCAATGATTTTTTGTTGATAAGATATTCTATACAAAAGTTAGTCAATGATTTTTGTCGATACGACATTCTACAGAAAAGTTAGTCAATGGTATTTTATCGTTAAGACATTCTGTAGAAAAGTTAGTCAATGATCTTTCGTCGGTAAAACAGATTCATGCATCGGAATTCTACATTACCGAACGTCGTCGGTAACTTATAGGTTGACGATTTGGTCGATAATATAGAAACAGAATTGTGAAACTGGATAATATCTTTCTTGCAACATCGTTAACTATTTTGTTAAATAATTTTTAACTATTATATATATTGAATACGTATTGGTTTAATAAATAGATTGATTAATAATTAATGAAAATTATTATAGAAAAAAATCGACTTGGGTGACGGTTGGCAAGAGAATTAGCAATTAAATAATTTTATTATAAATTCAATTAATATATAATTACATACACTGAAGTTTGCAATGATATTTTTATTTATTTTTATTCTTTTTTAAGTATATATGTATTATTATTATTATTATTATTATTATTATTATGCACCAAAGTAGTATACTTTCCTTGAGTATTATTACGTAAAAGGATTTACTATGTTACGATCGACTTTTCTCAATCCTTTCGAAACGAGAAACCGACTTGTGCAATGATAAAACGGAACTATTATATATTTTTTATTTATTTTTTTTATTATCCTCTTCTTAATGGACAATCGTTGAGGCAGGTCATTAGTGCCTTACAGAAAGATTAAAAATAATGAAAATATATTTCATGTATATTACGTTACACATCAAATATTCTTATTATGAAAAAAAGAAACCTTGTGTCATTTTTTACAGAGATGTCATAAAATTGTAAAAGCACACACATTACCTCATACGTTTATGATATTTTTATTTATTATATTTCTATTGTTTTTAAATTATTATATAAAATTTTGAATATTGCACATATTACATATACTATTAATTTTGTAATACGTATCAATTCAATTGATATGTTAAATAAATAGTAATAATTGATTAGCTGTTAAACAAGTTGTTCTTTTTTTTTTTCTTTCTTCGAATCTTTTAAGAGATTAGTAATATCTATCGATATTATTATATACTTTGACATTTACATTGCAGCCTAACGGCAGACGGTAGAGTTGGTAAGCCGGTTTGGTATTTACGTGGCATTTGTTGCAGTCTTGCTTTCGTCATGGCGTGCTTGCAAGGCCAAAGAATCCATATGAATCTTTGATCGAAATTTATCTGCTTAATTCGGAGCATCTGACACGTGAACAGACGTATATATTTTACATAAATACGCGTTATTTAAATGAACAAATCGATTGGAAATTTTGCTCACGTAAAATTATTAATCGTATTACGAACAAAAATGCATCGAGTCTAATCAAACGATTATTACGTATGCTATTTGCATGGTTACATATAAGAAATGATGATAAATGTTTGTTAAAATTGAGGAAGCGATGGGGAAATTTGAATATGAATGTACTAATTACACCATAAAGAGATGCATAAAAGGCTCTAATCAAAAAATCAAGGAAGTGTTACATAAATCTGACATTTCCTAGAATTACATAAATTTATTGTATTTATCTGTTTCTTTTTTCGTTCTATTTTTAAATGGTCAGAGACCTAACTCATGGCACAGAATAACGTTCTGACATTCGCGAGTGAGTTTCACTTCGTGGAGAGTGAGCTAAGTTCAATTACAGAATAATCTTAGATGACATAACAAAGTCGATGAGAACGTGGGTCTTCCTGAAGACCATCCTCGACAAGGAAAAACCATAATCGCCGGAGTTGTTACTTGTTGTTTCGTCAAATAGTCAATGTTGTCATCCTTTTATCTCTTTCCATCTTTATATATTTCTATCTTTCTTGGAGGAATTAAATAAAGAAAGGAAAAAAAAGGAAAAAAAACGAGACAGACGTGATTGTTAGGAAATCTTGATTATTCTGAAAAAGAGAGAGAGAAAGGAGAACTTGTAGGTGAACGACATGATTGAGAAATCCAGTTCGAGGAAATACTAAGAAAATGTATCTGCAAGGATACATTTGTAATAGTTAGATAATTGACATTTTTTTTTCTTCTCTCCATCGATTTAATTGAGAAGAGAAATTTTGATAAAATCGCTGTGTATTTTGTGAAAAAAAAATAAAAATAAAAAAGATAAAAAAAAGGTGTGTATTTTTACAAATAATAATTGAATAACGTTATTTAGATTATTATCAATCATATATTAAAACGCGATAAGATCTGGATAGATTTTCTCTTTAATTGCAAGCAACGGTGCAATTTCTTTCACAGTTCGGTATATTACAGATAAAAAAATAAAAAAAAATAAAACAACGTCAATAAAGCGAACAAAAATTGGTCGTAGTTTGAAAGATTTCGCGTTTTACATAGATTTTATTTGGAGAAATTTGTTAACAAACTCAAACGCGACAATAATAAGTGGAAAGTATAGAGAAACGATATTTACGATCTGCGATCTACGATCTAGGAGAGACAAGATAACGGTGTTGCTACTCATCTCGTTCTGCAGCTGCCAGCTGTTACTATAGCATACTCTTAGCAAACTATGAAACCTTTCGTTTGCTCTTCCTCTTTCACCCTCCTCCTTTTTTCCTTCTATTCCATTAGAAACTCACCAAACTCGCGTTAGATCCTTTCAACGTCCGATCTTGTGAAAACATGTGATTTAGAAAATTTCTCTTTTAAAGCAAACTGATCGACACGCCTGATTTGTAAATTAGATTGTTTCCCAGTATTATTATATCCAACGGGATTTGAAAGGAATTTCTTTATTACAAATTTCTTTTTTTTTCTTTCTTTCTTTTTTACTTTTTAATAGAGTAAAGAGCGTGTCCGAAAAATGGAAATATCGAATCCCATAATCCTAACAGCTGCACCCACCACCTCCACGATCTCTCTCTCTCTCTTTCTCTGAAACGGCAATGTTCTAGTCTACCCACTCCCAAAACTCTCAACCAAGCTGGCAACTTGAAAGGAATCACAGCACAGTTGAACGATGCGTTTTCCACGTGCGACACGCGTTTCTATCTAGAAATTGATTCTTTCTCTATCTGTCCATTTATTTGATACTGACACTAACACACAGGCACACACGTATTGTCGAATTGCATTCGACTCCCCTTTCGAACGCGAGTGAAGGGCTTCTTTCGTGTTTCCCCCTCGTCACGCGTGCACACACACACACATATATACATATATTTATTTGTTCATAAGTTTGATAGTCTCCTCTACGTGTTTGTGTTTGTGGGTTGTGTGTATTTGTAAAGCCCATCGATCGTCGAGCGAACGAGAGAACGAAGTCGCTCAGTTGTAACGAACCTGTCGTTCGTACCACTGACATCAAGTCATTACGTTCAACTATATTGGGTTTGGGCTTTTTCTCATTCTTTTTACATATTTTTTCCTTTTTGTTTTTTATATATTTCAATCTTCAATTCGTGCGAATAAATTATTGTATTTCTGTTTTGAGTGATCATTCAATAAGTGTTTAGAAATCATTTCACTTACTAAAGGATTTTTCAAATGAGTGTGTTTGTTTGCTCGTCGAGTGTTTTGAAAGATAACGCGTTAATAATTATTGCACTCTTCGATGTACCAAGCGTGTAAATATTAATCACACATTTAGCATTTTAGTCGAGGGTAATTAGCGTTGAAAGATAATTGAATAATTTATTTGATAATTCTTTAACGATCTTCTGTGCGTATTCTCGTTTTGATTTCATTCGTGAGTGTTATAAAAATGGTTGTAGTTGTTTCTTCTTATGGTGATTTGTATCGTTCACGTGGGTGGAAGTCGTAAGTAATTGATTAAACAAATAGGAAAAAGAGGATTGGATGATCTTGTTTGTTGTTGTTGATTAATCGAAGATAATCGGCTTTTTATTTTTCATCGTCGATCACATCCTCCCACGATACTCGAGATTGTTTCCCTTTGGAATAGAATGATCGAGCAGGAGTTTAATATCAAATTTACAAATTAGATCCTTTATCCTTTCTTTTTATGTTTAGGATAATGATCGATTAGGTTTCTTTATGCATCGTATTATTATTCTTCGAGTTGAACTCTTCTTTTCTTTTCGTCAAAGTACTGCTGATCGATCGGGTTTACTTTGACGTAATATTTCGCCAATTTAATATCTTTTACTTGTTTCCTAAATAATCGGATTAACGAAATTTTCCTGTTTAATGTTTGCCTGATAAAAATAAAATAGATTTGTAAATACGTAACACGTATATGTGATTCAACCATATATGTCCATGTCACGATACTTCGCAAAAAAAAACTTAGCCTGATTCGATCAACAGATAAGATTACTCGGAATTATCGATTGGTGTCTTTAAAAAGCGAACACAAAAATTCTCCCCTTCGTATCTTATCAAAATTGTCGTGGGTTAAGATAAAAACGATCTCGTTGGTCAATCCTTTCAATTCTCTCTTGTCTATCATTTATTATTAGTATATGTTTAACCAGCTTCACGAGAGGATATTAACAGAACGCTACTTATTATGGTTAGTCTTTTTTTTATAATCATTTTTCCTTGATAGCCTAGTTGAAACAATCATTTTTCATCAACCTTGTTTTTTTACTATCTATCATTACAAATATTTCTATACTTTTCTCTTTTAATATTTAATATTTTTCGTAGCAAAAATCATTCCATTTAATAGATGCAATAAAATACGAGATAAACCATTAATCTCAATCCTAATCCTAAACCTAATCTACTACTACGAGATATTTATATTTATGGTCAGTTTTTTCTTCTTTTTTTTACCAATCTTTCTGGTCTGTTAAAAACATTTCTATCTATCTAACTATCCATCCATCCATCCATTCATCCATTTATCTCTGTCTTTCTCATTTGCTAAGACGTAGCAACGTATCCATTTATCTTTCCATTTTTCTTTACTATTTCCATCACGATGTATAGTTAATCTTTTAAAGGAGATCTTTCAAAAAGTAGTCACTTTCTTTCGTACGTAAGAAGACTCGTTTCGCGTGAAATCATTTGTTGTGTTCCTCAACCGGAAAGAAAAGATACCTAACGATCAGGACATCTCTTTCTTTCTTTCTTTCTTTCTTTCTTTCTTTCATTATCTTTCGTTCTGGTCGACTTAGTTTTTTTAATTGAACCCTTTTCGTTCCGTTCGAATATGTCATTAACAAATCTTTTATCAAGATATTTTTTGTCGACGTATTTAATTATTAAATAAATATTGAATAATGTGCAATGATTACATCAACGACAAGTTATTCATGATTACGCATTGACAATTGTCACTAATTAATAATGAATATATATATATATGTATATATATACATGTGTTATTTGATCTCTTTGTTTAACTACATTAAACGACAATAGGACGGAAACACGAAAGCGTGCCAGATTGTTTGACATCCTTCTAATGTCACGTGAACTATCACAAATAAACTTTGAATGCACAAACATATGAAATGCATGGCTCTTCGTAGTTGTGTCGTCGTTGTTATAAATTCCGGAACGCTCCCTTTTTCAACCATGTGAAACGTCACCATGTTGAGTTAATGAAATGCCAAGCAAACGTTCCAAAGAAACAGGCTAATTTATCTCTCCTTAAATCGTTATTTTTCTATATTTCCTTAGCGTGTCTCTAATTAATAGACATAATTCATTGTCTTAAATTCATTGTCTACTATTTCGGTGTTCTATCGTTTCTCTCGCTTTAATTGTTCCTTTCGATTGTATTCCAGAATATAATTATAATAATTAAATGATATATTAAATGTTACTAATCTTTTTGTTAAATACATATGACAAAGATTAGATCATTCGTTTATTGATTTTTTTGTCGATAATAGTCATTCCAAATTAGTATAACAAAGTATGGTGATTTATGGTGTTTTCTAACGGTGAAATCACAGCTCCGGTCCTTTCTCTTTGTTTGCACATGACCGTGCCGTGTTAGACGTGTGGGACATTATATTGTTAAGCTTCTGATGTCGGCTTGCGAAGAGAGACAACAAGGCTAGAAGATCTATCTAACAATAAGAAGAGAAACGGTGCTAGATCATCGATCTTCCAAAGCGATCTCTCATCTATCTATCTTCTCCTACACCTAACGTGTTTTCCCCTGTATCTTTTATCTTTTTCTTTTTACAACGATTTATAATTATAAATATAAATAATACTCTTATTGCTAATTAAACAAACGTGTGCTATTGATATAAATTCATAGATAAAACGCGTTGAGAAGTTGATTAAAAAAAATAAGTAAAAGTCATCTAACTGGATGACTTACAATCGATCACTTGCACTTTGCATTTTTTTCAAAGGAAAAATTATATCAACGAACCGTTATCGGCACAGTATTGCTTGCTGGAAAATATATTCTAACTTGAAAATATTTATTTATTTTCATTGCAATCGATTTACTTTCTCTTTTCTTACCGGAAAATATGATGTCGTAATTTCCGTTTAATACCTACGTACATCCGGTTAGAATGTACTGTTACCAATATGATCGGCCCATTGGATCAATAAAATGTGATTTCTTGTTAAATCTAAACGCTTACGTATAACTCTTTGTCTCTGATATATCATCGAGAAGAATAAATAAATGAGAAAAAAAATTATTATAAAAAAAGAATGGTGTCTATAGGTCGTGGGCGATCGAACGTGGGTAGATCATTGCCCTAAATCTTTGTAAGGAGCGATGATGATCCATAGATCTTTTAATCCTTTCGTCATAAGCTTCGTTGTCGCTTCTTCTTCTTCTTCTTTTTCTTCTTCTGAGGATTTAGGTTGAGATTATTATATTAAAATACATAACAAAAAGAGACAATTCAATTAGAATATTAAAATGATTGAGATGAGATCTTTAGATTTTTTTAAAGACTCAGTCAGACTCGTGTCAGAGAAACGAGGACGCAATGTGAAATCCTGAGAAAATAATAAAATTGTTCTTTTGTATGTTTTCTTAACTTAAAAATAGAATTACAAATAGTTACGAAAAATTCGCACGAAGAGTTTTAAGAATAATTCAATTCTTAATTTAAACGATTATTTGTATATTTGATTTATCTATAGATCAGCTGATACAAATGAATGATCGATAAGAAATAATCCAATAGAAAAAACGAACTATCGGCATAGATAGATCAAATAGTGTAATCAAAATGGTGGTGTCACACCGAGAAAGTAGCATATCCTCGAACATACGAGCAATAATCGAACAATTGAATTTAAATCCAATCGAGAGAAGAAGATTGATAGATCGTACGAAAGAAGAAACAGTTAGACGTCAAAACTATCAAGGGATACAAACGAGTGTCCCAAAGATCACTATAGGTGTTTATGGTTGTAAAGAAAGGATCGATTACGAATTACCAGGTGCGATAAGATCTGCTTGTAAGATCGAGGCTCGTTCGAGATCTAAATTGGTGGAAGGGAGACAGAGAATCCCATTGGTTCCTCAACGAAGTCATTGCAAAAAGAAAGAGGTAAAATTTCATATCTCTCTCTTTCTCTCTCTCTTTCTCTCTCTCTCTCTCTCTCTCTCTCTCTCTCTCTCTCTCTTGAGAAAATAAAAAAGGAAGATGTGATCTATTAATCTATCGATCAATTACACTATACTTTACTTAACTATCTTTTGTATGTTAGTTTAATTATGATGGTGGTCAAATTGTAGCCACAAGTTTTGTTATTTTTTGTAAATGCGAATTATTTCGATATATTAACGATGATTTATTATAACGAACCGATAGAGAAAAATGATATAATTTAATTACTATTAAGTTATTTATCGAAGCAGAATCGTAAAGTGAAATACGACTAGAATGACAAGAAGCTCTCTCACGAGAGAGGAAACCTCTTTCTTATTTTTCTTTTAGAAGGTGTACCGTAGCGTAGGCACACCACCTGCAACCGGTTTCGAACGATCGCGGTTAAGTGACTTGACGGCAACCGTTATACCGTTATAACACATGCATACATAGATGCAACATACATTCGAGAGTTTACGCGAACTAACGTGATTGTTTTTTAAAAATTAGTATTATTTGACAGGACGCGACGCGACGCGACGTTTATGCGTTAATAAATTATTTCAAGTATTTTAATTTATGAACTTGATTAAGCGAGGATTAACTAATTAAATCGTTTGACGATGATGATACGTGTTTAAAAAATTCTTCTTAATGTGTTTTTTTTTTTTTTTTATCTTTTCTAAATGCTACTTTTTTTTCTTCCATGTTTCAGGTCACCAAACCTGCGAAAGAAAATGTCGAAAGGACAGTTTCTACGGTGAAAGAGGATTTACGTAAGTATATTGAATATTCATTAATCTACTCTATTAATAATTTATCAGAAATTGTATATATACTTTAACAACGAACATTTTTTTCTATGATTTATACATGTAAAATATATCTGATAATTGTGCATTCTATTAATTATATAAACTATTTATAAATATACATAATAATGATTAGACATTTAAATGTGTGAAAAACTACTTTCTTTTTGTATTAAATTTGTAGCTCAATTCGAGAGTGCCAGCTTGAATCACACGGCAGCTCTCCACAGAATTTCGGTTAGACCTAAAAATCGTCGGCCTCCTAGACGTGCTCCATCGACGACCAATAATACATCGGCTTTAACGATAACAACCATAGTCGAGGATACAATGGACGATGTGGATCAGCCTAAATCTCCTACCAATATTGTCTCATCCTCGCCAACAGAATCCAAAAAGAGTATAACATCGGTCACACGAAAATCTTCGGCTAGGACATCGCGAAGTTCGGATATTTTTGAAGGCCTAGAATCCCCACAACCCCAACAACAGCAACCACCACAACCACAACCACAACCCAGACTACCTAGAAAACCTTCGAGCACTGCATCCTTGTCACCCGACAGTCTGGATGCACCTAATGCTTCAAGGACAAGCCTTGAAAATAACGACGAACAAGTAGAGATCAGATCGGTCGCAAGGAGACCATCCAATCGAATATCGAAAGGATCAGATGTTTTCGAAGAATTAGAATCTAAGTTACCACGTAGGAGATCATCCTCGAGTAGATTATCAAAATCACCAGACAGTTTGGAAACTACCTCCTGTTGGTTCTCCAAGTCAACAGAGGGCTTTGAGAATTTAATAGAATACGAAGAAAGCAAACCGGTAGCTAAAAGATTGCTCAATCCAATCTCTAAATCGAGCGATCGTATATCGAAGTCATCGGACAGCTTAGAAGCCATCGAAGCTTTAACCAGCGACGATTCGATAGAACGTAGAAGAAGTAGTTTTGAATTTCGTGCACGGAGATCTTCCAAATCTATTTCGAAATCGTCCGAAAGTTTTGAAGTACTCGATCAGAGTTCACACGGTTCGGATATCGTTCAAGAATTACAGAAGCGAAGTAGTATCTCTGATATGAATCTTTCCAGAGGTAGAAGACTTTCTAAAAGTACATCCAAGTCTTCCGAAAGTTTTGAAAGGATTGACATAAGCGATTCGAAAAATGTTGAACTTGACGAGAAGAAGGAAGGAAAAGAAAAAGAAGAAATTGAACAAGAAGAGGAAGAGGAAGAGAAGGTCGTGAGAAGGAGATCGAGCAAAAGAATGTCCTCCGAAAGTTCGGACAATCTCGACGTTGAGGATAGATTAGAAAATAGAAGAGTTAGGCGAATACCAAAAAGAGTATCTAGTACAAGCATCGTTGATATTATTCCAATGGATGATAACGAAGAAGAGAGAAGGTCTATCAGAAAATCCAGACTACAGAAATCATCAGAGAGTTCCGAATTGGGAAGCACCGATACATTGGACTCCGAAAGAAGAAATAAATCGTCCGAGAGTACCGAAACTTTGGATAGTTTAGAGAAAGATGTCGAACAGGATAGGAAGGAAGAGGAGATAACTGACAACGTTGTAGATAGACGTGATAAAAATGTAAGTTAACAAATCTAATATATTTTTGATCTCCTACTCATTAATATTTACCCAACGACTATTCATTATTCGTCTTTTCTTTTTAGGATTCTTGGTCTAGCAGAAGTATGACAACAACAGATTCAGATCAAACATCAATGGCGGATGGTACAGAGGATTCAAAATCATTGATATCGCCGGATAAATTCTATTGGCGTCAGTCGTCCGAATCCAAGGAAAATCTAGACATCCATCAATTATTAGCTATCACTATAGTTACTCGCATGGCCGATAATGGTAATAATCAACGTAGTCCAGTTATTTATCCAAAGAAGAAACAACAAACTTCCCCGCCAACTTCGCCTGTCGCCAAACAGGAAGATAACAAAATGATTTTTGATAATCTTTTAACGAACAAGAATGACGAGGATCTTCAAAATATGTTGAATGGAAATATATCGGAGGTCTCAACCGATACTAAAAGTTTCAAAGAGAAACTTATAATGTTTGAGAAACTTGGAAAGTGAACTCTGTCTTCATTTTTGTATGCTTTTTTCTTGATTCCAAGTATAACATATTTTCATGCTTCCAGTAAGATTATCGGAATAATTTATTCGTTAATTTGTCGATGGACCATTTCTTTTCTTTTTGTTTTTTTTTTTTCTGAGAGAGAATACTTTCTTCAATTTGATTTTTTTCTTTTTATATAAATATATATACAAACAAATAATAACAACGACGTTCTAGCCTGGATAAAATATTATTAATCATGCATTTTCTATATGGGCCGATAATAATGATCCCATATCTTTTTGATATATAAATTATATATATATATATATAATTTTTTTTATATACAATGAATCTTTTTTTTCGATTCGGTAAAGTATATATTTACATATATATATTATATACGTACACATATACATAAACACACATCAATTATAAAATACACTATTCGTTTTCTTAAAAAGAAGGCGTTAGAGTGTAACGAAGAATATAACTCTCTGTTCGATGATTTGTAAATAATAATTAGACGAATTTATGTCTCTGAGAAATGACGTAATATATTTTATTCGTGTATAAAAAAAAAGAAAGAAGAAAAGCTGAACAAATGAGAAAGATATAATATTGTTGAGAGAAAGAGAGAGAGAGAGAGAAAGAGAAAACTATATATAAAAAAAGAAAAAAGGAAACTAAATGTTCTTCGAAAATTCTTTTATCAATGAACTTTCATTAATTAAAAGTTCACCCTCTCTGTTTACCACCACCACCACCACCACCACCACTACCACCGATGACGAACCTCTTTGAAAAGAAAAATTTCACCTGGTTGCAGTATTAATCACGGTGCCTGTATCCCAATGAAACAAAAAAAATATATATAATTGCATCGTGCTTCTTTGGAGACTCGTAGAAGATTTAGTTTATAAATGTATGCGTCGTTGTACAGTAGTATAGTATATATATATATTTTTTGTTCTTATAAGCGATTCTCTTCTCAAGAGAATCGTGCAATGAGAATATATAATAAAATATCATATATTTTATTTCGTGTCGTGTAAATAAAAAAGAAAAAGAAAAAAATAGAGAACAAAAAAAGTAATTATGAGGGTAAAGCGTATTACAATGTACTAACTATTATCAATTGTGAAACATAAATGGCATAAGTTAATAGTAATCATCGTTAATTATCATCGTCGTTGTCGTCGTCGTCGTCGTCGTCACAGTCACAGTCATTCTTCTTCTTGCAAATGATTTTTGACGAGGTGTATAATACACACATTCCACGATCCGAGGTTTTAAAAATCTTTTTTCGAAAAATGGTAAGGAATGAAAAAATAATAATAAAAAGAAAAAAAAAGAAAGTGCATATCATCTTAAAACATATTAATGTCTGTTTTATCGTTGTTAGAATCTGTCGAGTGCCTTAAATTAATAGTTAGAGACTTTTAATCAAGATGTTTCAATCAAAATATTATTTATCTTTAATTTCGTAGATAATATGTGTATGTTTAATAGTCGAAAAACTTGCAAAGTAAAATATCTGAATATGCATAAAACGAAGAAAAAGAAAAATAATGAAAAGAAATAGATGAAGAGACGATAAATAGGATTAAAATCATGGGATAATAAAAAGTAAAGAGGATGTAAATAAAGTTTGCCATTATGAATATAGTTTGACAACAAAGTTTTTCTCTTCTCTTTATTGAACCTGCTTACTGATGCACCATAGGGATGCACACTTAAAAAATTACAAAATACTTCGTTTGTATACTCTTCGATCTCGTCAGAAAATTTCTACGTATGCATGATAATGGAATTTGGTATGTAAAAACCAACAACAAAAAAGAGAAAAATTATTAGAAACATATTTTATATATCTTTGAGTTTATATCAATTTTTTCCGCGAATTAAAATATTAAAAAAACATCCCTTATTAGTACAATTCTATAAACAATATGATTATTATATCTTATTTTATTATACCGGTCGTTTTTTTCGTAGAAATCTTTAACGTATAAAAGAGGAATGTAACATTTGTATAATATTGGCAATGATCATATGTATAACAACAGTTTCTTTTTTGCTTGTTTAGTGATATAGAATATCTTTTAGCACAACAATTCACGCTTTACGAATAAGTTGAATCTGTCGTATATATAATATATGCTCCATTATATATATATACAATCGCATGTAAATCTTAAATGTTGCAAATCGATAAAAGTCCTGTTTTTTTATATCATTATTATCATTAATATTATTAATATTATTATTATTATTTGATGCCAAACCAACACTGTGGAAAAATCACCGATACAAGGACGAATAATTGCAAGAAACATGCCTCAATCATACTTGTTATCCAACTTAGAGTTTTCATGAATGCATTAACAAAATTCTTCTCACTGAGAAGGCTTTATATTAATTGTTATATGCATCTTTCCCTGACAGTAAAGAAAATATGTTGTGCTTATCACCATTTCGTTATGACTTACAATATAAATTAACTAAAGAAACAACGACTGCTGGAAAATGCCAGTGTACATCGTTACTATAATAATAGGAATTAAATATTTCTAAAATTCTAATCCATTGCTCTGTATAACATGTTCTTCTTTAATTGATTTAACTTGTTTGCTTTTTGTGTAGAGTCTAATGCTTGCAAATACTATATTAAAGAAGAAACAAAAAGTAGATATTAAAAAAGACGTAATTAACTCTTCTCGCAATCATGTCCTTCATTTTCAAGACTCACAAATTATGTGCTTTGAATATACTGGGTATGTGCACCATTGAACACACTTTCAGAAAAAAAAAAACAAAAGAAAAAGAATTTACAATTCATCGTGAGTATCTTGTTTTTCTGTACTTGGATTGCAAAGCGCAGGCGTGACAAATTCCATTGCGTATTCGCAACGGCTTGGTTCTGTTACAGAAATAAGTTTGTTTTCTTTGCCACAACTTAAATTAACAATAGTTGTACGAGCTGGACCGTTCCAGCACGTAAGACCTTTGTCATATCTTATTTTTGAATATTTGTTACCTTGTCCTCCTATCCATTCGCTCCAATATCCTAAACTAACATCACTTCCACCAGATTTTGATCTTTGTGATGCTTTTCCAAATAGACAAAGAGAATACGTGTATTCTAAGTCGGAATAATCAAAACACTCTCCATCTAACGTTACGAATTCGTCCTCTTTTCCATAATCACGTTCCAATTTCTCCTCCAATCGTTTTATTTCCGAATTGAGATCATTTACTGCTTTCTCAGCTTCTTGGTATCGTTCGCGTGCACTTGTTGCTTCGTCTATGAGTACTTGAGTTTCTTCATCGTACTGAACTTCAGGTTCTTGCTCATCAGGTTCTTGTTCTTCAACTTCTTTTTCATGCTCATCCACGATATCTTCTTCCTCTTCTATATTATCGTGCTCCTCTTTGGCATGTCCTTCTTCCAATTTTTCTCGAGTTTCTTCTTCCTCTTCTTCTTCTTCTTTTTCTTCTATTTTGCGTTCTGGATGTTTAAATATGCCTGCATATAAACGTATAGATATTAATAAAAGAAAATATCATTATAGAGAATAATGGGATGCATATAAATATAAAAAAATAATTAACCTTGTTCTAGCATGACAAATGGTTTGATATTACCCCAAGCTGTTTCTATAAATTCTTGCAACGATACCTCTTTCTGATTATTCAAAAAGAACATAGCTTCCTCTTGGGATACAGCTCCGTCACGATCTTTATCGAAGGTAGCTCTAGTTTGTAACTCTGCTATCGTAACTGTATTACTACCATCGGAATCTAATATCTTGAAGTAATCTTCAGCTTCCGATTGTCTTATTTCTTCTTCCTCCGTTGTTTCTTTGGGTGCAACTTGTTCGGGCTTATCCACTTTGTATTTCATCAAAGCGACGCTTTCTCTTTCCTCAGCTTGAGTTTTCAAAATCTCCTTTTCTTTTTTAATTTTCGTAGCTTCTTCATAATCGACCCATAATTTCATGAAATGAGTCTGGGTATCGCTCTTGATCTGTTTACCTTTGGCAACCATTTCCAAGCGTATCTTGTTGCCTTCCTTTTGCAATTCCTCAGCTTTTTGTGCTTCTAATCTAGCTTCTCTACCAAGGTCATGACAATTGTTAACACATTGTTTAGTAGAAGTATACTCATCGCTACCATCACAACAATCACAAATATTGTCATTCACCCATGTAGAGGGTATGTAAATAGGCTTGTGACCAAAATTTTTACAATAGAAAGAACCATTTTGGCAAGCTGAGGTTCCAGGTTCATCGCTACCGTCCCCGCAATCGCAATAATCATCGTTGACATAATGAAATGGTATCAATAAGCTACCATCGAGGCATTCAAAATCACGATCGGGTGCATAAAGTGTATTTTTTGAAACCGGTATACCTCGAATGTATGAGACCTGTGAGCCGGTTACGTGGCCGAATTTATCAAAAAAATTCATACATACCATGAACAATAACCATACAGAATATTCTTTCATCCTCTTCAACATACTTTTTACCTGTTGCTCTTAAAGAAGATTCTTTTTCTCTCTTTCTCTTTCTCACACTCTCTCAAACAATTTTCTTATTTCTAAGTAAAGTCTGAAGTGTATGTCTCTTTCCAGTGTAACTGATATCACGTACACTACGTGTAGAATAGGGCTACCTTAAATACATACATATATATACACACACATTTACAACTTCATATATTTCTCCAATCACACACTATAATACGTGGATTATAGGTATCACAAAAGCAAATATAGATAAGAAAGGAAACCCGAATCAAGATGGACGTCGAGCATACTGAGCGCCATATATTTTATCAAGATGGACACTGGTCATACTAAGCGCCATCTTCGTTATCAAGATGGACGTCAAGCGTACCGAGCGCTATCTTTTCTTTACGTTTTTATAGAAAACTCTTATCAATATTGAGTAAATGTAAGATATATTACGATCCTTTATCTAACTCTTTATATATTGTAAAATTATTCTTATTCTGATAATCTAATGAAACTTTTGATATGAATGAGCGATCGTACAATAAATTTGATAAACGTAAATAAATTGTTACGTCTCGTATAGTAAGTCTCGTAATAAGTACCACGTGATCCCGGTTTAAAATTACAGAACGATTACCGCGCGCAACCGACAGACGATATTTAATTTCCGTTGGTTCTTCCTACCCCTTCTACATCGCGTATTTTCACAGAGTTTCGTTCAGTAGGCTGCGTCGCCGCGTACAATACAAGTGTAGATTGTGTCGATATATTAGTTTGATTGATTCCATCCTTTTACTTTCTTTATATCCGTCCATTTTTTTTTCTTTTTCTTCCTTTTACCCAGTGTATTTTCAAAGTTAAATTACTCGCTAGAAAAATATGATAAATTGTCGAAAAAATTTGGTTAAGGGACATCCATTCGAGAGCTACGTAATAAGAGGAATTCATCACGGTTCGCTGCACTAATTCAATTGTACGTGAAAGAGCTAGAGACAGAGTAAGGTTTTAATTGAAAACTTAAATGCATTCTTATGTATGTTACATATGCATTCACGTTTACACACGTTTACATGCATCATCCGCTGTCAAATACTTACAGGAAATATATATATATATACGTGTATTATAAACGATGCATTTATGTTTTCCTTTTTCATAACTAATTTTAATAATAAGTTACGCCTACGCAACACATGTATACATACCTCGAGTATGAATGTGGACGTGTATTTACGACTGGCTTTTTATTAACGTTCTGCGATGACCAAAACCTTGTCCTATTTTTGTAAACACACACACATATATATATATATATATATATATTTTTTTTTTGTATGTATGCAGGTATGTGTCATCTACAATGCAAATATGTTTATAATCACCTGTACTAATCGTATATCTAATGTCATGTCATTTAGACAAAGTTTACATTATCCATATGAATTTATTTAACATTTTATCTTGACCACATTTTAATGAGCTAAATTTACTAACTGCATAGCTCTATTTATAAAAACTAAACTCACTTTCAACAGTTTTATTTTTATGAAAATAAAGCTTCCATGTTGCAACGTTGTATAATTATGACAGATTGAGATCTAGATCGTTATGTAATAAATGAAATGTTTTAATGTGAAATTATAGGAGAATATAGGTGTTATGAGCGGTGCTTTATCCATGTATGATGGCTTGGAGAAAGAAACAACATCGAATAATGCATTGGAAAGTAGTAGTGGTACTACGAAGAAGTTGGCCAGAGGAATTTCTAGAGCGACAGAAAATGCTGCCATAGTTTCATATGCACGCTCTCAATTTGCTACTTTGGGATCTTTGGATATGCCCGAATTTACATTTTCTTTGCCAGATTTGTCTGTGTATCCAGGTAATATGTCAATCTTAACATGTCGGAAGTATTCAATGGACATTGTAGTCATATTTTACGATTGATTTTCTTTATAGATTCGTTTCGTCAATTTTTGGAGAAAGATTTGATAGAAGGAGGATGTCTATCTTCATTGGAAGCTGCAGGACGATTGAATTGGTGGTGCGGTGGGAAAAATGGAAGTAATAGAGTTCTCTGGCCATTAGCAACTTCGGGAGATGGTAATTGTTTGCTTCATGCAGCTTCTCTTGGTATGTGGGGTTTCCATGATAGATTACTTACACTGAGAGAAGTTTTGCATAATACATTGAATGTAGGAGAATACCGACATGCACTTTTTAGGTACGTGACAAATATAGATTTATGTGTGTATATGTATATAGTGACTCGATGATTAATTAAGATATATATCTTATACAGAAGATGGAAATGGCGTCAGGTGGGTTTAAATGCTGCCGCAGGTTTGTCTTATACAGAAGCAGAATGGGTATCCGAATGGCAAACTATAGTAGATATGGCTTCGCCAATACTTAGGAATCAAACAGCCACTTCTTATCAAAGTCTAGAAGAAGTAAAAATATTTATATTATATACTATTTATATAGTTATGATATAATTTTTTTATTTATCGAGTGGTTTTTGTTTGATTCAGGTACATGTACTGGCATTGGCTCATATTTTAAGACGTCCTATAATAGTAATAGCAGAAACAATGTTAAAAGATGCAGAGGGAGTAGCTTTGGCACCTATACCATTTGGAGGAGTATACCTTCCATTAGAAATACCACCTTCGAATTGTCATAGAACTCCATTATTATTGGCATATCATTCTGCACACTTTTCACCGCTCGTTACGGTTCATGGACACAATGACATCGGGGATGATAGTAATGAAGGAGTTAGTATACCTCTGGTTGATCCTGATAGTGGTCAAATATTGCCTGTATTATTCGCTGTAGATCCTGGTCCTGATTGGGATTGGATTGAAGGATCGCGTGATTTATTGTCCTGCGAGCAAAGCACGGTAATAATACATAACTGAAATACATTTCTCTGTCATAAGTTAATGTTTTTTTACATAGGTTACACACTTTTTTTTATATCTAGATGGAGATATTAATAAAGGATTATTTGGACTACGAGTACGTTAATTTCACATCAGAAGAAATCGACAGGTTATCTGATACAGATGGTTCCCTGTCTAAGACAGCTAAACAATTATTAGGTGTCGCGAAACAATTTGGATCGATTGGAAGATCAATGAGTAAGAAATTTTGGTCTATGACCAAGAGACCAAAAAGTCCTCCATCTTCTTCTGGCGGTAATTCTACTGAGGGATTATTCTGTATTAAAATGAAAAGTAGACGCCATCAGTACGTCGATCAGATGTTACAAAACTACCTCGAATGTGCCCATGCTAGGTAAATTCTTAATATTTATCTAATAATCCTTCTTTCCTCATCTTTGTTCGATATTCAATTATACAATTTTCATTCGTCTAGATATCTTCAAGATCATCAAATAGATGATACAGGCTGTGAAATGAATTACGGAGCTGGCAAATCCAAATTCTATGCTGTGAGTGATTATGGTAGTCATGCAAGTGTCAGCAAATTATTACCAGCTCATCCAAATAAAGATCGTACGCTTTATCTTTCAAGGTACATTAATAATAATCAGTCGTATTGAATTAGTAGTAAAACATTAAATAGATTTGCTTTGTTGATGAGAGTAGTAGTGTATCGATTATCTATCTTTCTCGTAGATCAACATTCTATAACGATCATACATCGCCTGAAAAAAAGGGTGATCGACGGTCATGGAATAGTAATTTGCGGGTATGTCTTTGCAAAATAGAGCGTACATATATATATGCATAGATAATATTTATTTAAATATTTTTCTATACATGTATAAAAAAGAAAAAAAGGAAACCATGAACGTATCTCTATAAAATTGATTTTTTTTAGGCGTGCGTGAAGGAGTGTCGCAGTGAACACTGCCAATTTTTTGGCTCACCGGAAAATGAATATTATTGTTCGCAATGTTGGGCTAATCGACGTTATCGTTAAAATATTTTTCTTTGTTTTGTTTTTTATCTAACAAAGCATGACAATAATCACGATAAAACCACCGAGTGGCATGCATGCATGCTGATTAATTTCTTCGTTAATGTGGATTCATATATCCATATATCAAAAAAAATATTTATCTTCCTTCATTATCATTCATCTATATATTTCTTTCTCTTTTTCTGTTTGGCTTTCTCTCTTTCTCTCTCCCTTTCTCTCTTTCCCTCTCTCTCTCTCTCTCTTTATTTATTAACATTCTCATTAATTCATTAAATTAAAAATGCATATCAAATATGTATAAAAAAATAATCACAGCCGATTCGATGTTCGTTATCGATCAGAGACGCCTTTCTACGTGTAGCCAAAACCAAAACAAAAAAATAGAAAAAAAAAAGATAAAAGATGAAATGTTTCAAGAGATTATATTTTTTAAATACTGCTGCATAATCATTACATATATGTATATATATATATATGTATGTATATATATATATGTACATGTGCCTTTTTGTGTCGTTCATAATATTAATATAAAAATATTATATTTAAAAAGACTAATTAACTAACAATACTCAAAGTGAATCAGTACAATGGATCTTATATATATATATATGTATGTATGTATGTATATATATGTATATATATAATTAATATTGCAACGACCACATACTAACAGTTTCGTTTACAACGCTCTGTACTTATTAATCGTGCTTGGAATAATTATCTATAATAATAATAATAATAATGATAATTAAAAAAAATAATTATACGCATATAATAATAAACGATTGATTTCGTTCATCACGATTAAATTGTAATCATCGATCGGTGATCGGTGTTTGAATCGTAAAATTGTGTGTAAAATAAAGAAATATTTTTGTATACATCGTGTAATGCTATCGAAACGAAGTTGTGTCAGGGTAAAATTAATGATGAGGCTGGTGTAAGATAATACGAAGGAAGTAACTTAGTCTCGAGAGAGAGATTATCTTTGTAAGAAAATAATTTAAGATCGTAAGTCAGTATCCTCATTAAATTTGAGATTGTATTTAAACTACAGATTTAATGTTAATTGTCTCTTATAATAATTTATATATAGAATATATTTTAAATATTAATAATATAATTGTATAAATGTGGAAATGTATGTATTTTAATAAAATATATAAAATATAATTACAATATTAGTAAAACGAAAAGAAATGAAAGAAAACAAAAATAAAAAATAAATTAATATATACATGTGTGTTATATAAATCTTAATTAATAATTGTATATTAAAATTAATTACACACGCACAAATATCTTAATATTTACAATATATTCTATCGATAGCATAAAAGTATAAAAAT